GGGCGGCGCACAATTGGCCCAGCGTCGTCCAGGGTAGGGGAGGGAATGGCCGGCAGGGATGTAGCTCAGTTGGTAGAGCATGGCATTTGCAACGCCAGGGTTGTGGGTTCGATTCCAGTATAAAAAAATGGATAAGATAAATAATGTAAATGTAATGTCCATTCACAACATTGTAAGCTCAAGCCGAACACTTTGTGACTGCTGTTGTTAACCTCCGTTGTATTTTTATTACTTATTTAATGATAACTAACCAAAGCGGGATGTACTAAATTATGAAAAAATACAGATAACTGTCCTATTAACTACAACTTAGCGCATTTAGCCTCAGTGCTTTCAGAACAACTTTGTCGCTCTTGTTAAGAACAGCTAATCTAGATTAATGCAGATGTAGAGTCTATAGCAAGGCGCTTCAATACATTGTTGATGGTGGACTTTTTTGAACATGCTCGTTTTCATTGTAAATAAAAAATGTTCAAAAAGGTAGTAGTGAACATAACCTCCCGTTGTCCGAGGTCAAATGACCCCATGTGCCATTTATTATTTTTATATTTTTGGATATGTGAGAGGAGGCAGTGATATTTGTTAAAGTCTACATGCTCTTCTCACACATGATCCCAAATATAAAAATAAATAAAGTTGGTTCAACAAGTGCCTTGCCCTAGGACAACGGGAGGTTAATGAATGTAGACACATCTACTGAACATTTTTTTTTACATGAAACGAGCATGTATCAAAGAAAGTCACACATCAACATGTGATTTTACTGGCGCCTTTGCCTAAGCACTCTAATCCAACACATTAGTGATTAGTGGTCTGCATCAAAAGAAAGTTGGAAAGAGGAGGAGATGTAGAAATTTAATAGACAGACTAAGTTAGCTGTATTTTTTTGCTTATAATCATTAGTAAACACTCCCGCTATTAGGTTAAGTTTATCTACATTAAAATAAAGTTAATAAAAATAAATCGTAAATTGAATGTAGGCCTACTTAAATGGTTTCATCCATAACCGTCAGTTACACGGTTATTAAATTACTGCCACAGCCCTATGTTCAAGCAACTGAAAAAATGCCTATTCGGCACCTACAATGTAAATCACCAATTACTGCCACGCACAGATTCGGAAGTCTACAACAGCTCAGTACATTGGAGGTGCCGAAGAGGCATTTTTTTCGGTTGCTTGTAAACTATTATTTAGACCTTTTTTGGAAGTAAATACCGGCAGTAACGGGAGTAAATGAATATAGTTGCTCAGCGTCCTGGAGACACGTCATACTCATCGTCAACATCTCTAACACACAAACTGGGGCAGCTAGCTTGTACTCTGGGGGTCTATCCTATGGTCCATTGAAAGCATGGTACATGTATTTTCATCCAACCTTTAGTTGGCTATACTTTCTTGATTTGGAAGGCACTGGTGTCTTATAAACTTCTGTTTCCAGTTTCAGGGGGAACCCCAAAAAATTGAAAATATTCAGAAAAAAAGTTGATCCACTTTTTATATTGCGTGAGAAATGGCTTCTCGTATGTGTGTAAATCTTTGTTTGGGTTGTTTGCGAGATATCCGGCAGCTAAAATGATGAGGGAACTCCGTGCAAAAAGTGGATTTAATATTTTCCGGAATATTCTCTGGTTATTGGAGTTCCACCTGCAACTGGAAACAGACGTCTATAAGACACCCGTGCCTTCCAAATCAAGAATGAAGAAAGTATCGGCAACTAAAGGTTGGTTGAAAATAAATGTACAATGCTTTCAATAGCCCATCAAGTTGACCTCCAGTACTAGCTAGTTTAGCTATAGCTCTCGAACTCAAGGGGGGTATACCCAGCTGGGTTCTCAGCTGATGATACGGGCCACATCTGGCTCCATGTGAACTTCAATTCTGGCGCTCTATTTAATCCCAACGCTCTGTCTAAACCAGGGGTGTCAAACTCATTTTAGCTCAGGGGCCACATGGAGGAAAATATATTCCCAAGTGGGCCGGACCAGAAAAATCATGGTGTATATATAACTTAAAAACAACAACTTCAGATTGTTTTCTTTGTTTCAATACGATCAACATACAACATAAAGCTGGAGCCTGAGGACAGTGTGTCCAAAATAGTACAAGCACAACATCACTATTAATCATAAAACACGTCAAGTTTATTTAAATTCTAAAGAAAAAGAACACACAAACACACAATGCCTCAGTGATTAACAGAACTGTTTCACAGATCACAGAACTATATCAGGGTGTCATTTCTCAGGCAGAAATGTAGATAAAAATAATGAAATCCTGTTCCCCAAACAAGTGCAAGAACCACAGTGTCAAGAATAGGTTAAATATACAAATCAAATCAAATCTATTAAAAACAATAGCACATCAACATAAAAACATAAATCTGAAAGCGTTGCTCAAACTCCCGTAACAGTCCAGTTATTTTATCTTTGAACCGCTTCATGTCTGCCACATGTTGGGTCGCGCACACATTTTTCAGACAGGGGAAGTGAGCTGCATCACCACCGGCAAGTTGTGTCTCCCACAATGACAGCTTCAACTTGAAAGAACGTATGCTGTCATAATACTGCGTGACAACTTTGTTGCGCCCTTGCAGCTGTTTGTTCAAGTTATTCAGGTGCTCTGTAACATCCACCATAAATGCAAGGTCCGGCATCCATTCTGCGGAATGAAATTCTAACACTGGTTTGCCCTTTTCTTCCATGAACTGTTCAATTTCTTCTCGTAAATCAAAGAAACGCCTCAGCACAGCACCTCGGCTTAACCATCTTACCTCAGTGTGGTATGGCAGGCCATAGATGTGGTCTTTCTCTCTGAGAAGGCTGTCAAACTGACGGTGATTCAGGCTTCTGGATCGGATGAAATTAACAGTTTGGATGACCACCTTCATGACGTTATCCATCTTTAATGACTTGCAACACAAAGCCTCCTGGTGCAAAATACAGTGAAAAGTCAAAAAATCACATCCTCCATTTGCAGATTGCACTTTCTCTCTGAACTTTGTCACAACGCCTGCTTTTTTCCCGATCATTGAGGGCGCACCATCTGTAGCCAGGCTGACAGCGCGGGACCAGTCCACTCCGACCCTGTCCAGCGCGCCGACGAGTGCGGTAAAAATATCAGCTGCTGTCGTTGTATCTGTCATCGGCACCAACTCCACGAACTCCTCGGTGACGGTCAATGTGTCATCAACTCCGCGGATGAAAAAATGGCCAGTTGTGCAACATCTGTAATGTCCGTGCTTTCATCAATTGCAACCGAAAACGCAATAAATGACTTTACTTTTTGCTTCAACTGGCTGTCCAAATCCACTGAAAGATCGGAAATCCTGTCTGCAACTGTGTTTCTTGTCAGGCTGATATTTGCAAAAGCCTGCCGCTTTTCAGGGCACACAATCTCCGCTGCCTTCATCATGCATGTTTTTACAAATTCACCCTCACTAAATGGTTTTGAAGCCACTGCGATTTCATTAGCAATGAGGTAGCTAGCTTTCACTGCAGCGTCACTGATGTCTCGGCTGTGAGTAAACACAGACTGCTGTTTCTTCAGACCCGCCAACAGTTCATTCACCTTCTCTCATCTCCGCTGTCCTTGGAAGTTGTCATATTTGTCGGCATGAAGACTCACATAGTGGCGACGAAGGTTATATTCTTTCAGCACTGCAACATGCTCTGAACACACCAAACATACAGCTTTCCCATTCAATTCCGTGATTAAATAGGATGACCATTTTTCTTGGAACACTCTGCACTCTGCGTCCACTTTTCTCTTTTTTGACAGAGACATATTGGGGCAATGAGGGTGCCAAAGCACATAATGTTAAAAGTAGAAGCCGTAATAAATATCGCGGGCAAAACAAAGTAGCTCATTGGCTGCACGTGCTTGACCTACTTGCTCTGCCCCGGTATAAACAGTTTGCTTGCTTAACACAATTGCTATTGCGCCATCCATTGACGCAATTGGAACAGCAGTTTTTTTATAGGAAAAAATTGCATTTATACTTACAATATTAATTTATTTTTTAAAAATCATCTCGCGGGCCGGATTAAACCCGTTGGCGGGCCTTGATCCGCCCGCTGGCCCGTACTTGACACCCTGGTCTAAACGCAAATACGCCTCACTTGCGATATGGTTTTGGACACCTTTGGAACTTTCATATAAACGACAAATAATCTTTAAAATACAAAATATACACTTACTGTGCGCAGTTTAGCAAAGTTGCACCCGGCTGTTTTCACACACCGCCTCGGCTACGACGCATCCTCTCACCTTGCGCTCGCGTTTCCATTGGACTATTCCATTTCACATTTACGGTGTTTCTCAAAATACAGCCGGGTGCAACTTTTCTAAACTGCTTACAGTAAGTGTATATTTTGCTGGTGGACCAAAACCGCTGTTTGAAGCTGGTGGTCCAAAACTGAAAGTTAACTTTAGTTTTGGTCCACCAGCTTCAAACAGCTGTAAAAAAAAATATTATTTGTTATTGAATATATTTCACAGCGATTTTAGATGGTACAATGATTCCCTACACCACGTGTCAAACTCATTCCACAGAGGGCCGAGTGTCTGTGTGTTTTCACTCCTCCCTTGTACTTGATTGGTAATTAAGGTCACTAATTAGTTAATAACTCCCCTCACCTGGTTGTCTAGGTCTTAATTGAAAGGGAAAAACCAAAGGCCTGCAGACATGAGGCCCTCCATGGAATGAGTTTGACACCCCTGCACTACACTATTCAGTGCTTGTTTTCTCACATAAATAGTGAACAGTGTAGATTAGGCAACCAGGAAATTAGATATTTACTAGAGACTAGATAACACAGCCACAAAGTCAGAACAGCTTTCTCAGTTTGACAACAGATGCCACACCGGCGGGAGAAATCAATAAGCAAATATCACAGGCAATCACAATCTGATTGGCAAATGATTATGGTCTTCTGATGTTTATCTCTTCCAGGACAGTGAAGTGTCAGACTTCGAGCCTGTTCCGGGGCTTGAGAGCAGTATGGAGGGGGAGAATGCACCAGTGTACTGCATTTGTCGAAAACCTGACATCAATTGCTTCATGATGTGAGTTTAATCAGATGATCATAAAAGTAATCATAAAATGACTTTGAAACATTAACCTTGGTTTCATGGGGCTCACATCTGTTTTTCTTGTAGTGGTTGTGACAATTGCAATGAGTGGTTTCATGGTAACTGCATCAATCTCACAGAGAAGATGGCAAAAGCTATTAGGCAGTGGTACTGCCTGCAGTGCCAAGGTGAGGTTTTAATGGTTTACCATTCACTATCATTCACATTGGGTACTTGTCACATGTGCTTTCTAAACTTACACAATGTCTGTTGCTTTTGATTAGACAAAAACCCATCATTGGAGATAAAATACCGTCCAAAGAAGAGCCGTGAAAAGGAGGCAGAGAGCCAGAGAGAGCCAGAGATACATTTTGAAAGACAGAACAGCACTCCAGATTATAAATCTGAAAAGCGCCGTGGATCAAAGGTTAGTTATTTTACATCTAAATGTTATGTCCCCACTTTCTTTCAATGTATCTCTACAGTTGTGCGTATTTGGAACTACTCTGTTGGCAAACATACAGTGCCTTCAGAAAGGATTCATACTCCTTGACTTATTCCACATTTTGTTGTGTTATAGCCCGAATTCAAAATGGATCAAATAAAATGTTTCTCTCACCCATCTACACACAATACCCCATAATGACAGTGAAAACATGTTTTTATACATTTTCGCACATTTATTGAAAATGAAATACAGATATCTAAGTATTAACACCCCTTTGGCAAGAATTACAGCTTTGAGTCTTCATGGGTATGTCTCTAATAGCTTTCCACACCTGGATTCTGCAACATTTGCCCATTGTTCTTTTCAAAAAATGTTCAGGCTCTGTCAAGTTGGACGTTGATCATTGCTAGACAACCATTTTCAGGTTTTCAAGTCAATTTAAGTCTAACTGTAACTCAGCTACTCAAGAACATTCACTGTCTTCTTGGTAAGCAACTCCTGTGTAGATTTGGCCTTGTGTTTTAGGTTATTGTCCTGCTGAAAGGTGAATTCACCTCCCAGTGTCTGGTGGAAAGCAGATGGAACCATTCGTTTATTTTTTATCCTGAAAAACTCCCAGGCCTTAATGATTACAAGCATACCCATAACATGATGCAGCCACCACTATGCTTGAAAATATGGAGAGTGATACTCAGTAATGGATTGGATTTGCCCCAAACATAACACTTTGTATTCAGGACAAAAACGCTTTGCCACATTTTCTGCAGTATTATTTTAGTGCCTTGTTGCGGAATATTTATTCTGTACAGGCTTCCGTCTTTTCACTCTGTCAATTAGGTCAGTATTGTGGAGTAACTACAATGTTGTTGATCCATCCTCAGTTTTCTCCTATCACAGCCATTAAACTCTTAACAGTTTTAAAGTCACCATTGGTCTCATGGTGAAATCTCTGAGCTGTTTCCTTCCTCTCTGGCAATGGAGTTAGGAAGGAGGCCTGTATCTTTGTAGTAACTGGGTGTATTGATACACCATCCAAAGTTTAATTAATAACTTCATCATGCTCAAAGGGATAACACTATTATTGTTGAACACTATTATTGCACACAGAGTGAGTACTGGCAACTTATTATGTGACGTTTTAAGCAAATCTTTATTCCTGAACTTATTTAGGCTTGCCTAAACAAAGGGATTGAATACATGTTGACTCAAGACATTTCAGCTTTTCATTTTTTATTAATTTGTTAAAATTTAGAAAAACATATTTCCACTTTGACATTATGGGGTATTGTGTATAAGCCAGTGACAAACATCTTAATTTACTCTTTTAAATTCAGTCTGTTACACAACAAAATGTGGAAAAAGTCAAGGGGTGTGAATACTTTCTGAAGGCACTGTATCTTTGTCTCTTCTGTGTTTCTCAGGTTAAGCGCTCTGCTCGTATGTGTGGGGAGTGCGAACCCTGCTTGAGGACTGAGGACTGCGCCACATGCGACTTCTGCAAGGACATGAAGAAATTTGGGGGTCCCAACAAAATAAGACAGAAGTGTCGATTTAGGCAGTGTGATGTCCGAGCCAGGGTGAGTTTCCTAATGAGACTATGCCATCAATCTTATTTTTCCTCCTAACTTATTTTCAACTGGTCAAAAAACAGTTGTAGTCTTGCAAACTGTGTGACATAATGTCTCTTATTCTCTGTGCAGAAAATGTTGCGTGTGAAGGATGAAGAGTTTAATTTGCGTGAAAGGAGGGACAATTCCTACCACCGGCGAAGACGATATTCAGATGACTACGATAGTGAGGCAGAACTCTATGAAAAGTACAAGGCGGCAGGATACGACGAATACATGGTATTACAATAGAATGTTCAGCCTAGTTTCTCATTTATCTATCAACAACAAATTGAAATGCATTCAAAATACAAATAGATCCTTATTATTGTCCTTGTTGCTTTTGTTCTTTAGCTTGGATAGCACATTTTCAAGTCTTTTGAATGTGGGTTCATCTATTGTTTCTGTTCAACCCAGCCATGGCTCAGTGATGAGGATGACGGGCCTCCCTTCAGCCCTGTCCTGCGAAAGAAAGCTGTTAAGGTCAAGCATGTGAAGAGACGGGAAAAGAAATTTGACAAGAAAGTAAGCAAACTTTATTTTTAGATCTTGCAGACACACAACGATTATTGATACTTGTATCCATGCAGTCCACATCTACCAAATATTTGAATCTTTCAGCTTTTGTGTTTTATGGCATCATGGGAATATTACTGTTGTGACAAAATACATAAAAGTGCAATGATTTTACATGATAATATAATATGTGTGCAATGGGGTTTGTTTTTGTGACATCAGAAAGCATCACGGCGGCACAAACAGAAGCAGAAGCACAAGGACAAACTTAGGCACAGCGATAAGGGCGATGCCAGCGATGGAGGAGGGCAGCGGCAGTGCCTCGGGCCCAGCTGTGTGGAGGCAGCACGAGCCAACTCCAAATACTGCTCAGAGGAATGTGGCATAAAGCTGGCTGCCAAGTAAGGGCACGAACACCAAAACTACAACACTGACACATGCAACAGTAAGAAACCCTGTAAAACCCTTTGTATTTCTGTCTGTGCAGCCGGATCTTTGAGATTCTCCCTCAGCGTATCCAGCAGTGGCAGCAGAGCCCCTGCGTCGCTGAGGAGCAGGGCAAGAAGCAACTGGAGCGGATCCGGAAAGATCAGCAGAACGCCCGCATGCGCCTCACCGACATGGAGAAACGCTTCCACGAGCTGGAGGGCATCATTGCCAAGGCCAAGCAGCAGGTGGTCCAGCAGGATGAGGAGGTGAGCCACTGCAGTATTTATCCAGTGGGGTCGAAGCTCCTCAGCTAGAGATATGTTTTGCCTGTTTGGGTTCAAATGTTTCAGGGGCTTTCTGTTTATTTATAGTTATTCTATTGTTGTTTTTTTGGTTCCTGTTTCAGACGAATGAAGGGGATAATGAAGAAACAGATCTGCTGATTTTCTGTGTGTCCTGCAGTCACCCTATCAACCCAAAGGTGGCACTGCGACACATGGAGAGATGTTATGCTAAGGTGAGCCTGTAGATGTTGAGCCAACCCCAAAAATGCTTTAACGTATCCTTCCTTTCACACCTTCCCTCTAACTCAGTTAGCTTAGCGGGACAGGGTTTCAGACTGCAGCCATTTTCTTGTATGTAGTAAAGACTTCCGCATACATAGTTTCGGTTTGCTCCTTGCAGAACTTGACTAGGCCATGCGAACGTCTGTGCTCACATACTCCCTAAAGACCTTCGGCAATATTACTGTTGTTTTTCCCTCTTGAGCCACCTTAGCAACAACATGGCCAGAAACAATCCTCAAAATAGTCTAAGAATTAATCTAAGATAAATCAAGAAATCTGTAAATCATTTAAGTGTTTTTTAAATTTATTTATCTTTGTTTGTTTTTTTGTTGTTGTAGTTTTTACCCCTTTTTCTCCCCAATTTTCGTGATATCCAATTGGTAGTTAGTCTTGTCCCATCTCTGGAACTCCCGTACGGACTCGGGAGAGGCTAAGGTCGAGAGTCATGTGTCCTCCGAAACACGACCCTGCAAGCCGCACTGCTTCTTGACACACTGCTCGCTTAACCCACTGCTCGCTTAACCCGGAAGCCAGCCGCACCAATGTGTCGGAGGAAGCACCGTACAACTGCCGACCGTGTCAGCGTGCATGCACCCGGCCCACCACAGGAGTCGCTAGAGCGCGATGGGACAAGGACATCCCAGCCAGCCAAACCTAACCTGGACGACGCTGGGCCAATTGTGTGCCGCCTCATTGGTCTCCCGGTCGCAGCTGGCTGCGACACAGCCAGAGATTGAACCCGGATCTGTAGTGAAGCCTCAAACACTGCAATGCAGTGCCTTAGACCGCTGCGCCACTCGGTAGGCCCCATTTTAATTTTTTTTGCAGAGGAAGTCTTTTACATTTAGCTAAGATGTTTGGTGCAGTATTTCTCAAGTGGGAAAGTGTGCATGAAAACTAGTAGTGCACAGCAGACAGTAGGGCCTAGCTGCCCTCATCTCTAGTTGAATGACAGTAAACACTTAATTGAATAATCCCGTCCATAGTTCCCACCCCTACTGTTTACCAATCACCGACGAAGGAGTGTAGACTTCGGCTACCGAACTTCGACTTGCCTTAAGAAACAGTTTTGTGTGCGCGAAAAAGACGAAGAAAACCCTGCTGAACACCAAAACAAACAAAAAGGTAACAATGTCATCATAATATGTGCGTTAAAGGTTTTGACTGGGAAGCATGCAACAGGCTTTAGACCAGGGGTGTCAAACTCATTTTAGCTCAGGGGCCACATGGAGGAAAATCTATTCCCAAGTGGGCCGGACCGGAAAAATCATGGTGTGTATATATATATATAACTTAAAAACAACAACTTCAGATTGTTTTCTTTGTTTTAATACGATCAACATACAACATAAAGCTGGAGCCTGAGGACAGTGTGTCCAAAATAGTACAAGCACAACATCACTATTAATCATAAAACATGTCAAGTTTATTTGAAAATTCTAAAGAAAAAGAACACACAAACATACAAATGTCCTCAGTGATTAACAGAACTGTTTCACAGATCATAGCAGAAATATATCAGGGTGTCATTTCTCGGCAGAAATGTAGATAAAAATAATGAAATCTGTTCCCCAAAACAAGTGCAAGAAATCAACAGATCAAAATAGGTAAATATACAATAAAAATGAAAATTCAATTAAAAACAATTAGCACATCAACCAAAAAACATATAAACATAAGCTGGAGCCTGAGGACAGTGTCCAAAAGCACAACATCCACTATTAATCATAAAACACCACAAGTTATTTGAAAGTTCTGAGGACAAGAACACAAACACACAATGCCTCAGTGATTCACAGAAGTATATCACAGAACTATATCAGGGTGTCATTTCTCAGGCAGAAATGTAGATAAAAATAATGAAATCCTGTTCCCCAAACAAGTGCAAGAACCACAGAGTCAAGAATAGGTTAAATATACAAATAAAATAAAATCAATTAAAAACAATAGCACATCAACATATAAACATAAATCTGAAAGCGTTGCTCAAACTCCCGTAACAGTCCAGTTATTTTATCTTTGAACCGCTTCATGTCTGCCACATGTTGGGTCGCGCACACATTTTTCAGACAGGGGAAGTGAGCTGCATCACCACCGGCAAGTTGCGTCTCCCACAATGACAGCTTCAACTTGAAAGAACGTATGCTGTCATAATACTGCGTGACAACTTTGTTGCGCCCTTGCCGCTGTTTGTTCAAGTTATTCAGGTGCTCTGTAACATCCACCATAAATGCAAGGTCCGGCATCCATTCTGCGGAATGAAATTCTAACACTGGTTTGCCCTTTTCTTCCATGAACTGTTCAATTTCTTCTCGTAAATCAAAGAAACGCCTCAGCACAGCACCTCGGCTTAACCATCTTACCTCAGTGTGGTATGGCAGGCCATAGATGTGGTCTTTCTCTCTGAGAAGGCTGTCAAACTGACGGTGATTCAGGCTTCTGGATCGGATGAAATTAACAGTTTGGATGACCACCTTCATGACGTTATCCATCTTTAATGACTTGCAACACAAAGCCTCCTGGTGCAAAATACAGTGAAAAGTCCATTTGCAGATTGCACTTTCTCTCTGAACTTTGTCACAACGCCTGCTTTTTTCCCGATCATTGAGGGCGCACCATCTGTAGCCAGGCTGACAGCGTGGGACCAGTCCACTCCGACCCTGTCCAGCGCGCCGACGAGTGCGGTAAAAATATCAGCTGCTGTCGTTGTATCTGTCATCGGCACCAACTCCACGAACTCCTCGGTGACGGTCAATGTGTCATCAACTCCGCGGATGAAAAAATGGCCAGTTGTGCAACATCTGTAATGTCCGTGCTTTCATCAATTGCAACCGAAAACGCAATAAATGATTTTACTTTTTGCTTCAACTGGCTGTCCAAATCCACTGAAAGATCAGAAATCCTGTCTGCAACTGTGTTTCTTGTCAGGCTGATATTTGCAAAAGCCTGCCGCTTTTCAGGGCACACAATCTCCGCTGCCTTCATCATGCATGTTTTTACAAATTCACCCTCACTAAATGGTTTTGAAGCCACTGCGATTTCATTAGCAATGAGGTAGCTAGCTTTCACTGCAGCGTCACTGATGTCTCGGCTGTGAGTAAACACAGACTGCTGTTTCTTCAGACCCGCCAACAGTTCATTCACCTTCTCTCATCTCCGCTGTCCTTGAAAGTTGTCATATTTGTCGGCATGAAGACTCACATAGTGGCGACGAAGGTTATATTCTTTCAGCACTGCAACATGCTCTGAACACACCAAACATACAGCTTTCCCATTCAATTCCGTGATTAAATAGGATGACAATTTTTCTTGGAACACTCTGCACTCTGCGTCCACTTTTCTCTTTTTTGACAGAGACATATTGGGGCAATGAGGGTGCCAAAGCACATAATGTTAAAAGTAGAAGCCGTAATAAATATCGCGGGCAAAACAAAGTAGCTCATTGGCTGCACGTGCTTGACCTACTTGCTCTGCCCCGGTATAAACAGTTTGCTTGCTTAACACAATTGCTATTGCGCCATCCAGTGGACGCAATTGGAACAGCAGTTTATTTTATTGAAAAATTGCAGCGCATTTTTATACCTAAAAATACAATAAAAAATAAAAAATTATTTTTATTTTTATTTTTTTTAATCATCTCGCGGGCCGGATTAAACCCGTTTGCGGGCCTGATCCGGCCCGCGGGCCGTACGTTTGACACCCCTGCTTTAGACAGACTTCCTATTTAGCTTCTCTGATCTTGGTTCTGACAGTTTGTGGTATACATCCTGACTGCAGTGCACTTGCCTGATAAGTGTCTGCTTGCAGTTGCTGCAACATCCTATATGGGGAGAAGATGAAACGTACAGAATGAACACTTAATATAGAGTACTAGCAATAAGAATATATAAGTTGCAAATATGCACTCCTTCCAAAAGGACAAAGGAAAAGTGTACTCTTGTAAACTGATAACATTCTGTATTTCTCTCTCTTTTGCATTGACAGTATGAGAGCCAGACTTCTTTTGGTTCCATGTACCCAACTAAGATCGAAGGGTAAGAGAGTCAAGCACTTTGAATGGGTTTGCTAGAAGTGGACTTTGTTGCTTTCTTTATGTTTCCATATTGTGTCACCAAGGTATTCTATGTACTTTTTGTTTTCTCAGAGCAACAAGACTCTTCTGCGACGTGTACAACCCCCAGAGCAAGACCTACTGCAAGAGGCTTCAGGTCTTGTGCCCAGAGCATTCCAGGGACCCAAAGGTCAGTGATGATTGGCAAGTCAAATCCAAATAACTTTGTCATAAAGCATAAAGCACACTAATTGTCCTGCTGTTTGACTTATGATTTGTATCTTGGCTTCTCTTGCCCTTCTCTTGTTTTGTGGGTAGGTCCCAGGGGATGAGGTGTGCGGCTGTCCTCTGGTCCGTAATGTGTTTGAGGTGACGGGAGAATACTGCAGGGTTTCTAAGCGCAAATGTAATAAGCACTACAACTGGGAGAAGCTCAGAAGAGCTGAGGTGGACCTGGAGCGTGTCCGAGTGGTTAGTAGTGGAATGCACCACATCAATCTCTTATTTTAGGACACTTCACCAGGGTTGGGGTCAATTCCATTGGAATTCCTGGAGATTCTAATCAGATAGATCCCAGAATTCCAGTTCATCTCTTGATTTTAGCTAACTTGAAATGAAATTGACTAAGACCCTGGTTATAACAAACATATTATTGGCCTTCATAAATGGTAGTTGATATGATCATGAAAGTGAATTTTAAAGAACAGTTGATTTCAAAGATTGTTTTAGTATATTAATCATTACACCTTGCTTTTCTCCCAAAATGTATTTGTGAACAGTGGTACAAACTAGATGAGCTCTTTGAGCAGGAGCGCAACATGAGGACTGCTATGACCAACAGGGCAGGTCTACTTGCTCTCATGCTGCACCAAACCATTCAGCATGACCCCCTGACAACGGATCTCCGTTGCAACAAGGACAGATAGCCAGCCACATCTGCATCTTCATGTTATTTCTGAGTGGCATTTGTTAGATTTGTAGTATATCTTAGATTAGAATATAATCCATTTTGTAGAGACTTTGGCTATTTTTATGAAGGATTTTAAAACCTTTGTGCTGAAGTTGATGAACTGAAATATTTGAATGGTAAATTAATATATTTTTCCTTGTGTCCGGTACTATTGCTGTCCTGTCACTGCTGGTATCTCTCTCATGATAGTCCAAAAAATAAAGGATATGTGTACAACAAGAAGTTGATAATTTTCTGTTGCATTTATATTTCTGAGTATTTTGCTTTGTGTCTTTGTTTGCTGTTTGTCTCACCATGTGTAATACCATTCTGTTATCACACCCACTAAGAAACAGGTACACCAGAGTGGTTTCAAACCTCTTTAGCTGCACTCTCCACTCCAGTCAACTGTTAAGTTGTCATGAGATGGAATATTTCACACATTCACGCTGCAAGTTAGTTTGGTAGTCGCTAGCTAGATACTTTTTCTTTATAAAGAAATATAAAATATACAGTCATACTTTACAACACAGTATACAAAAAAAAAAGACAAACGCCCTAGCTAGAGACTAAAAACATGCATTAAGCGGTCATCGTCACGCGAGCGAGAAAGGATAAGTCTAAACGGGATCATTGGGACGTCCCAACTCTGACGTCACCCCACTGAAGTTCGGTTAAGCGAAGCGGGAGGTTTTACTCCGCCCAAAATCTGTCCACGAAGTGAGGAGTTTTTGTATGGAGGTCAGAGTGTCGAATTTGGTCAACAATACATTGAATTGCTAATTTGCTATGTGAGGTTTATTTGATTGAATCGACGTTTTGTAATGGTTAGGTTGTTATGAGTTGACACACGTGGCATTTCGGCAACTTTGAAAAAACTACTTTATATTGGAGGTATGCCTGTTGTCATAGAGATAGAGGACTGACTCATCATGGACATAACCCGTTTTAGCATGGACATTGCCATTGAGGGCTTCCACCATTTAAAAGTAGTCAACTGCGTGGATATTCCTATGATTTTCGAGCAATCAGCTAATGAAGAAAACTGACTACTTCTTTTTTTTTTATGGCGCTGCCCATGCTGTCACAGACGCTGTAATGGCACAGATACCAAGATGAGTCCTCTATCTATCTCTATGGCATGTTGTTCACGCAAGTATCTGCCCTCTTATTGGCTAGAATAGCCCACCTGATCTCGCCCCCTCCGAGCTGCCTTCCATCTTTGAGGACATTACTTTCTATTGTTGGAATGGTCACTCGAATATCTTGTCAATATAATAGACACTGTCTTTGGTTAAGGTAATGGTAAACTAATGTAGCAGTAGAAATAATAAGGGTTAGAGGGTAGGGACGTCCCAAGCATCCCAATTTGCGTTTAATGTGTGTTTCCTGTTATGTTGCAGGTGATTTCCGGTTCTTAAACCGTCGATGGTATGTTTTCGAAATTTTATGCTGTTTAGAAAATATTTTATGCTGTTTTGTTTTGGAGCTGCGTTCTTTTATCACATTGCTGTCTCTCAGCGCAAGTGGTAGGTTAGCACGTTAGCTCTGTCCGATGTTGTCTCGTCTGGCACGTAACCAACACCATAACAAATAGCTAACGACATTGTTGCTAACTTATCTAGCTATACTTCCGCTAACAACGATTCTATTAATAGGTAACGTTATCTAGCTAGCCCTATATTTTTCCTGTATTTGTCTGTGGTATCTCGGTAGCTGTTTGGCAGGTTTGGTTTTAATATGTGAATGTGATTGAAATTACTTGAGTCTTTTTGCCATGGTGGTCGTGAAGTGTTGTTAGCTGCAAATTAGCAAGCTATCTTGCTAACGTTAGTTAACAATCAAAAGGCGACGAAGTACGGTAGCATTAGCTAACTAACGTTAACTAGCTTATCGGTGTGTTGCTACTAGCTAGCACTTATGTAGTTCTTACCAAATAATATCTGATAACGCCGTCACTAAAATAATCGGTACATAGGGGAGAGGAGCATTAGTTAACTGTTACCTAGTTAGAGTTAATTGATCAACGTTGGTTGGATTATTGTAGCTAACGTTACAGTAGCTAGCTAGCAGGTGACATGTCTGAATTTATTTGACATTTGAGGTTGAAATGTCTTGAATGATGCACCATCTCGTTTCAAGTGTGAAAAGCAAAAAAACGTAGAATCAATAATATGGCAAGTACTGTCAAATAATGATTAAAAACAAAAATTAACAGCAAAATAAAGTTGTTGTACAACTACTAATAGCCATACAACTCATAAAAACTACTGCTACAGCTACTAATACAACTAATAAAACGAAGTTCCTATTATTTATATATAATTTATATATATTTTAAAATATAAATTATATATAAATAATATCTCCACATTATGTTTCTAATAGTTAACAACACTTACACACTTACAATTACTGGCCAGCTGACTGTCAAGCCAGAAATATATATTATGAGTAGCTGTCTCTGGCAATAGCAGACTCTGTCAAGCAAGCATCATGATTCATGTCAGTGGCTCGACTAGGGTGGAACGTCTTGATCAGCTCAGCTGTTATGTTGATGCATTGATTCAGTGTATACCCATGTGAAATTCTGTTAAAAGCCAATGCTGTAATTGCTCAACTTTGTCTTTACCAGGTCCTATACATCAATGGGAAGACTAAAGGTTTTGGAAAGCCCTGCTGGAATGCGAGCAAAGTTTATGCTTGAGTTACTCTAGGACCCCACTGGATGTGTGAGCACTCCTCTGTATTGTTATGCAAAGTCTTGGACGTGTGAACCTTAGAAGTCATTGTTCAAGAAGATTTTGGAGGACATTTAGACCTATGGCTTCATGAGTTTATAGAGCCCCAGAAATGAATGAAGGACTGGTGGATAATCTAGGTTCCGGGAGAGGGCCAGGGGAGGAAGACATGGAGATAAACGGAGAGGTACTCAAATCTACAAATGATCCAGTTATAGAAAGGGAGGAGAGGACTGAAGTCGGGGACAATGGGATGGAGAGGACCTCTCAGGTCCTATCGCCACTGGAGGCCCTGGCTCCCTCGGACAGCCTTGACATTCAGGACCATGCCACCTCCGGTCCTGTGATGACAGGCCATGGGCAGACAGAGAAGATCCCAGGGGGAGTTGCTGAGGAACCCCCTGTAGACTGGTTTGAGCCCCTGGAGGATGACAATTATGACGATGACACAAAGGGCTTGGACTTGGGCCTTGCTATGGGGGAGCGATGCATGAATGACAAGGAGGATGCCGAAGAGGAGAGTGTTGCAGAGAGCGAAAGGAGCGGGAGCGTGGCAGGCCTTGAGAAGAAAATCAACAGCAACAACCTGTATGTTGAGTGATGTGACACTTGATTTGACTAGCTTTGGCTGCTGTTGTATCAATGTTATTATAACAACGTGTCAGGATTTCTAGGGCCCACAAATCAATACAGAAGTTGGATCATTTACTCCCCAACATTAAAGTACCCTACATTTTAAAGAAGGATTTATCTGGGGCAGTGAAATGGTGCAGGTTAGCGTTTTTCGTCATGAACCTTGTTCTGGAGGTTACTATGCAGAATGGTCACTAGCTGGCGCAGCCACAAAGTCATGAAATCACATTTTAACCAAATCCGTAACCACACTGCTAACCTTAAATTAAGACCAAAAGCATATTTTGTTTTCATATTTTGTACGATATAGCCAATTTTGACTTTGCAGCTGGCCTATCTAGCGGAAATAGCTCAGTTCTGCCTCCGGGGCAAGATTCATGAGAATAAACGTCAACCTGCTGTAATGGGCCCCAAATGTTATTTCTTGTAGCAAATATGTAGCCAGTTGATATGCTTTGCTGTTATGTTTTATGCTCTTATGCTGATATACTTTGCTGATATTTGTTTTTATTTTATGGCAGGTTTTCTGTTTATAGACGGAAGAAAAGAGTAACAGTTGAAGAGGGCTGGGAGGACTGGCCGGCACTTGGAAAGGGTTGGAAGCGCAAAGCGGTTGTTCGTCGTTCAGGTTCTAGTGTTGGTCAGAGTGACGTTTATTACATGAGGTAAAAAATTCTGGCAAAACTCAATTCAATTTTTAGACCAAGGGCCAGTTTAGATTTTTAACCACTGGTATTGTCTCATGACATGAGGTTCATTGTTATTTTTTTTATTTTATTTTACCTTTATTTAACTAGGCAAGTCAGTTAAGAACAAATTCTTATTTACAATGACAGCCTACACCGGCCAAACCCAGACGACGCTGGGCCAATTGTGCGCCGCCCTATGGGACTCCCAATCACGGCCGGTTGTGATACAGCCTAGAATCGAACCAGGGGGTCTGTAGTGACGTCTCAAGCACTGAGATGCAGTGCCTTAGACCACTGCGCCACTCGGGAGCCCATTTACGAGGGCTCACTTGCTGTACCTGTTTGAATAAGCCGTTGGTTTGAAATAAAAATGTGGTACAAACAATTTACTTAATAATACAGACTCACAGCACATTCATTTGATTGTCAGTATTATATGCTTTTAGATACAGTGAGGGGGGAAAAGTATTTGATCCCCTGCTGATTTTGTACGTTTGCCCACTGACAAAGAAATGATCAGTCTATAATTTTAATGGTAGGTTTATTTGAACAGTGAGAGACAGAATAACAACAAAAAAAATCCAGAAAAACACGTCAAAAATGTTATAAATTGATTGTTTCCACCTCCATGTTTGACGGTGGGGATGGTGTTCTTGGGGTCATAGGCAGCATTCCTCCTCCTCCAAACAGGGCGAGTTGAGTTGATGCCAAATAGCTCGGTTTTGGTCTCATCTGACCACAACACTTTCACCCAGTTCTCCTCTGAATCATTCAGATGTTCATTGGCAAACTTCAGATGGGCCTGTATATGTGCTTTCTTGAGCAGGGGGACCTTGCGGGCGCTGCAGGATTTCAGTCCTTCACGGCGAAGTGTGTTACCAATTGTTTTCTTGGTGACTATGGTCCCAGCTGCCTTGAGATCATTGACAAGATCCTCCCGTGTAGTTCTGGGCTGATTCCTCACCGTTCTCATGATCATTGCAACTCCACGAGGTGATATCTTGCATGGAGCCCCAGGCCGAGGGAGATTGACAGTTATTTTGTGTTTCTTCCATTTGCGAAAAAATCGCACCAACTGTTGTCACCTTCTCACCAAGCTGCTTGGCGATGGTCTTGTAGCCCATTCCAGCCTTGTGTAGGTCTACAATCTTGTCCCTGACATCTTTGGAGAGGTCTTTGGTCTTGGCCATGGTGGAGAGTTTTGAATCTGATTGATTGCTTCTGTGGACAGGTGTCTTTTAATACAGGTAACAAACTGAGATTAGGAGCACTCCCTTTAAGAGTGCACTCCTAATCTCAGCTCGTTACCTGTATAAAAGACACCTGGGAGCCAGAAATCTTTCTGATTGAGAGGGGGTCAAATACTTATTTCCCTCATTAAAATGCAAATCAATTTATAACATTTTTGACGTGCGTTTTTCTGGATTTTGTTGTTGTTATTCTGTCTCTCACTGTTCAAATAAACCTACCATTAAAATGATAGACTGATCATTTCTTTGTCAGTGGGCAAACATACAAAATCAGCAGGGGATCAAATACTTTTTCCCCTCACTGTAACTTTATAAACCATTGATGTCACTTTATTCCCATCTCTGTTCCCTGAAGTCCGAGTAATGAGCGTGTGAGAAGTAGGGTTGAGCTTTCCAAAGTCCTGGCAGATACTCTGGACATGACAATGTTTGATTACAAAGCTGGGGTGTTCAGGGGTGCTGGACAACCCAAGCCCTTGCGTGCAAGAAAGACGGTAATAAAAAAAGCTCCCAGCATTTACACTTGAAATTATACCTTTTTCTTTCACTTCACTAATTTCAATGTATTTTCTAACAACTACCATCTTGTCTATTCCAACCCATGGTCTGTTAGAATATACAGAAGGATCATCCTCCCTTAGTGGACTGTGGCTTTTCCTCAGAGTCCAGCTTGATGGACAGAGGGGACCGGGCAGACAGTCCTGACTCCCATCACAGACTGACCCCTCTGAGTCGCAGCTCTATGGGAACGCCAAGCAGAGACCCCCACCTCCAACATACCACTCCCCCAAGACCGAACTCCTCTCTCACACAGATTAGTTCAGCCTCTGTCGCTCATGATGTGGAAGGTATGAAGCACAATGCAACTAAACTGCCCTGGAGCCCTGCATCATCGCTTTCAGTCTCCTTCAACGGGATGGCTGGTTCAGAGCCCTGCTTTTGGTGAGTCAAATGCTCCTATGTTTTCCTATAATTTTATCTCTGAGAATTTAAGTTTAACACATTCCTCAGACATAATCATGGTTTAGGCTATATATACACTGAACAAAAATATAAACGCAACATGTAACGTGTTGGTCCCATGTTTCATGAGCTGAAATAAGAACCCAGAAATTTTCCATAAGCACAAAAAGCTTATTTCTCTCAACCTTTGTGCACAAATTTGTTTACACCACTGTTAGTGAGCATTTCTCCTTTGGCTAAAATAATCCATTCACCTGACAGGTGTGGCATATCAAGAAGCTGATTTTTATATTTTATTTTACCTTTATTTAACTAGGCATGTCAGTTAAGAACAAATTCTTATTTACAATGACGGCCTACACCGGCAAAACCCGGACGACGCTGGGCCAATTGTGCGCCGCCCTATGGGACTCCCAATCCCGGCCGGTTGTGATACAGCCTGGAATCGAACCAGGGGGTCTGTAGTGACGCCTCAAGCACTGAGCTGCAGTGCCTTAGACCACTGCGCCACTCTGGAGATTAAACAGCGTGATCATTACACAGGTGCACCTTGTGCTGGGCACAATAAAAGGCCGCTCTAAAATGTGCAGTTTTGTCTCACAACACAATGCCACAGATGTCTCAAGTTTTGAGGGAGTGTGAAATTGGCCATGCAGACTGCAGGAATGTCCACCAGAGCTGTTGCCATAGAATTTAATGTTAATTTCTCTACCTTAAGCCGCCTCCAACGTCGTTTTAGAGAAATCATTCTTGGCATGGCCTGTCTCCCCAGTGGGTGGGCCTATGGCCTCCAAGGCCCACCCATGACTGCGCCCCTGCCCAGTCGTGAAATCCATAGATTAGTGACTAATGAATTTATTTCAATTGACTGATTTACTGTAACAGTAAAATCATTGAAATTGTTGCTTGTTGCGTTTTAATATTTTTGTTCAGTACATATTTGTTGGGTGCTTATACAGTGGGGAAAAAAGGTATTTAGTCAGCCACCAATTGTGCAAGTTCTCCCACTTAAAAATATGAGAGAGGCCTGTAATTTTCATCATAGGTACACGTCAACTATGACAGACAAATTGAGATTTTTTTTCTCCAGAAAATCACATTGTAGGATTTTTAATGAATTTATTTGCAAATTATGGTGGAAAATAAGTATTTGGTCACCTACAAACAAGCAAGATTTCTGGCTCTCACAGACCTGTAACTTCTTCTTTAAGAGGCTCCTCTGTCCTCCATTCGTTACCTGTATTAATGGCACCTGTTTGAACTTGTTATCAGTATAAAAGACACCTGTCCACAACCTCAAACAGTCACACTCCAAACTCCACTATGGCCAAGACCAAAGAGCTGTCAAAGGACACCAGAAACAAAATTGTAGACCTGCACCAGGCTGGGAAGACTGAATCTGCAATAGGTAAGCAGCTTGGTTTGAAGAAATCAACTGTGGGAGCAATTATTAGGAAATGGAAGACATACAAGACCACTGATAATCTCCCTCGATCTGGGGCTCCACGCAAGATCTCACCCCGTGGGGTCAAAATGATCACAAGAACGGTGAGCAAAAATCCCAGAACCACACGGGGGGACCTAGTGAATGACCTGCAGAGAGCTGGGACCAAAGTAACAAAGCCTACCATCAGTAACACACTACGCCGCCAGGGACTCAAATCCTGCAGTGCCAGACGTGTCCCCCTGCTTAAGCCAGTACATGTCCAGGCCCGTCTAAAGTTTGCTAGAGTGCATTTGGGTGATCCAGAAGAGGATTGGGAGAATGTCATATGGTTAGATGAAACCAAAATATAACTTTTTGGTAAAAACTCAACTCGTCGTGTTTGGAGGACAAAGAATGCTGAGTTGCATCCAAAGAACACCATACCTACTGTGAAGCATGGGGGTGGAAACATCATGCTTTGGGGCTGTTTTTCTGCAAAGGGACCAGGACAACTGATCCGTGTAAAGGAAAGAATGAATGGGGCCATGTATCGTGAGATTTTGAGTGAAAACCTCCTTCCATCAGCAAGGGCATTGAAGATGAAACGTGGCTGGGTCTTTCAGCATGACAATGATCCCAAACACACCGCCCGGGCAACAAAGGAGTGGCTTCGTAAGAAGCATTTCAAGGTCCTGGAGTGGCCTAGCCAGTCTCCAGATCTCAACCCCATAGAAAATCTTTGGAGGGAGTTGAAAGTCTGTGTTGCCCAGCGACAGCCCCAAAACATCACTGCTCTAGAGGAGATCTGCATGGAGGAATGGGCCAAAATACCAGCAACAGTGTGTGAAAACCTTGCGAAGACTTACAGAAAATGTTTGACCTGTGTCATTGCCAACAAAGGGTATATAACAAAGTATTGAGAAACTTTTGTTATTGACCAAATACTTATTTTCCACCATAATTTGCAAAAAAAAATTCATTAAAAAAAATCCTACAATGTGATTTTCTGGAGAAAGAAAATCTCATTTTGTCTGTCATAGTTGACGTGTACCTATGATGAAAATTACAGGCGCCTCATCTTTTAAGTGGGAGAACTTGCACAATTGGTGGCTGACTAAATAGTTTTTTCCCCATTGTATACAAGTGTGTATTATATGAATTGGAAATGTGTTTCCCCCTGAGATACAGCTTTTTTAATGTAAAATAAGCAAAGAATACATGGGAGTGATTGAAGGGGTAGATGTTAATATCTTGAGGATGATTGTGATGTTATGCACTTGGAACCTTAGGTAACTTGCTTCGATACTCTTTATTTCAGCATCTGTGCCATTTGTGGTAATTCATATACAGGCTTTGAATATGAAAGGCAGATGAAGGATCCCTGTTGCCCCAAATGCAGGGGTATGTGAACTCTTTAGTGTCAATCCAATTAAAGGAAAGCCACTTCACAAAATCGTTTTGAAGAGGAACACAATTGACATATTTTAAATTTTAACGAACATTGTAAATGTGCCTGTTTTTACTGTTTATGAAGTGTCAGTTTAATATTGTGTTAACAGTATCCCTCTTTGCTTTTAGCCAATAATCCAGCTATAGCCAAGAATCCACTTTATCAAAGATTCAGAAAGGTAAACAAGTGTTCGTCAACTAACGAGTCTACTACTCTCATCATTTCTGTTTTTAACATGCGCTCCTCGAGTTCCCGTTTTGTATTTTTGACTCTTTCCCTTTACTTATTTCAGTTTTACATAGTTAAACAATGATTTATCAACATAGGTCTGAATGGAGAGGAATACTCTAACTTCAGAATTTTTGTCTGTTTTAGTGGATTCCTTGTGGTAACTGTAAGGCTTGCCTTACCACAGAAGATTGTGGGAGCTGTGCCAACTGCAAAAAAACACTGAACCCTGACACCAGAAAACCTGTCCGCTGTCGGAAACGCAAATGTTTATGTCCTATCCTCAAGGTACAGACTGACAGAAGAAGAGACAGAGATTGAAGAAATCCAAGTGGTAGTTTATTTTGATTGTTTATTTATGTGTATTTCAGCATAAACCCGATGGTCCCCAAAAGTTGGATCCCTATCCCATAACGAATTTCAAGGTAATTGTCTAGAACCCCATTACCTAGGGTATCCTAGTTTCTGTTTTAAAGTATATAAAAAATCTGAATACATGCATATGAAAAATGCAGAAGGCTATTGTCTATTTATATCTATTCTGCTGACTCAATATAGAGCAGCATGTCCCACAAGTCCACATGTGAACATTGGCAGTTAATTTGGAATATTCTCTTCACCTCTCCATGAAAAGCTCCCATAACTGAATATAAAGCATTTGTTTTGCAGATTGACAGCGGAGAATTGCAGGTAACAATACCAAGCCCTCTCTAATAATACTCCTCTATTCCTTACCTTAGTGTTAATTTAATATGCAAAGGAATTTATGAATGTAATTGAATAATAATGGCACCGGAGGGGATGGCTGCCGTTTTACGGGCTCCTAACCAACTGTGCTATTTTATTTGTTTTTTCGCATTGTTTGTAACTTTTATTTTGTACATAAATGTTGCTGCTACCGTCTCTTATGACCGAAAAGAGCTTCTGGACATCAGAACAGCGATTACTCACCTCGAACTGGACGAATATTTTTTCTTTAATGAGTCCGACGTCATTCGCGTGAAGGAAATACAGGAGGCAGAGGTCGGGATGCCTTGTGATAATTCGTCGGGGAGTGGGTAAACCGCCTCTACCATCTGTTCTATTGGAAAACGTGCAATCACTGGAAAATAAACTGGATGATCTACGATCAAGACTATCCTACCAACGGGACATTAAAAACTGTATCTTATGTTTCACTGGGTCGTGGCTGAACGACGACATGGATAATATAGAGCTGGCTGGGTTTTCCATGCATTGGCAGGACAGAGCAGCTACCTCTGGTAAGATGAGGGATGGGAAGTGTATATTTGTAATAGCTGGTGCGCGATGTCTAATATTAAAGAAGTCTCGAGGAATTGCTCGGCTGAGGTAGAGTACCTCATGGTAAGCTGTAGACCACACTATCTACCAAGAGAGTTTATCTATATTATTCATAGCCGTTTATTTACAACCACAAACTGATGCTGCCACCAAGACTGCACTCAACGAGCTGTATAAGGCCATGAGTAGACAAGAAAATGCTCATCCAGAAGCGGCGCTCCTAGTGGCCGGGGACTTTAATGTAGGCAAACTTACATCCGCTTTACCTCATTTTTACCAGGATGTCACATGTGCAACCAGAGGGGAAAAAAACTCTAGAGCCACCTGTACGCCACACACAAAGACGCATACAAAGCTCTCCCTCCCTCCATTTGCAAATCTGACCATAATTCTATCCTCCTGATTCCTGCTTACAAGCAAAAACTAAAGCAGGAAGTACCAGTGACTCGCTCAATACAGAAGTGGTCAGATGTCGCGGATGCTATGCTATATGACTGTTTTGCTAGCATAGACTGGAATATGTTCTGTGATTCATCCAATGGCATTGAAGAGTATACCACCTCAGTCACCGGCTTCATCAATAAGTGCATCGACGACGTCGTCTCCACAGTGACCGTACGTACATACAGTGGGGGGAAAAAAGTATTTAGTCAGCCACCAATTGTGCAAGTTCTCCCACTTAAAAAGATGTGAGAGGCCTGTAATTTTCATCATAGGTACACGTCAACTATGACAGACAAAATGAGAAGAATAAAAATCCAGAAAATCACATTGTAGGATTTTTTATGAATTTATTTGCAAATTATGGTGGAAAATAAGTATTTGGTCAATAACAAAAGTTTCTCAATACTTTATATACCCTTTGTTGGCAATGACACAGGTCAAACGTTTTCTGTAAGTCTTCACAAGGTTTTCACACACTGTTGCTGGTATTTTGGCCCATTCCTCCATGCAGATCTCCTTCGTTGCCCGGGCGGTGTGTTTGGGATCATTGTCATGCTGAAAGACCCAGCCACATTTCATCTTCAATGCCCTTGCTGATGGAAGGAGGTTTTCACTCAAAATCTCACGATACATGGCCCCATTCATTCTTTCCTTTACACAGATCAGTTGTCCTGGTCCCTTTGCAGAAAAACAGCCCCAAAGCATGATGTTTCCACCCCCATGCTTCACAGTAGGTATGGTGTTCTTTGGATGCAACTCAGCATTCTTTGTCCTCCATACACGACGAGTTGAGTTTTTACCAAAAAGTTATATTTTGGTTTCATCTGACCATATGACATTCTCCCAATCCTCTTCTGGATCATCCAAATGCACTCTAGCAAACTTCAGACGGGCCTGGACATGTACTGGCTTAAGCAGGGGGACACGTCTGGCACTGCAGGATTTGAGTCCCTGGCGGCGTAGTGTGTTACTGATGGTAGGCTTTGTTACTTTGGTCCCAGCTCTCTGCAGGTCATTCACTAGGTCCCCCCGTGGATTTTTGCTCACCGTTCTTGTGATCATTTTGATCCCACGGGGTGAGATCTTGCGTGGAGCCCCAGATCGAGGGAGATTATCAGTGGTCTTGTATGTCTTCCATTTCCTAATAATTGCTCCCACAGTTGATTTCTTCAAACCAAGCTGCTTACCTATTGCAGATTCAGTCTTCCCAGCCTGGTGCAGGTCTACAATTTTGTTTCTGGTGTCCTTTGACAGCTCTTTGGTCTTGGCCATAGTGGAGTTTGGAGTGTGACTGTTTGAGGTTGTGGACAGGTGTCTTTTTATACTGATAACAAGTTCAAACAGGTGCCATTAATACAGGTAACGAGTGGAGGACAGAGGAGCCTCTTAAAGAAGAAGTTACAGGTCTGTGAGAGCCAGAAATCTTGCTTGTTTGTAGGTGACCAAATACTTATTTTCCACCATAATTTGCAAATAAATTCATAAAAAATCCTACAATGTGACTTTCTGGATTATTTTTTCTCAATTTGTCTGTCATAGTTGACGTGTACCTATGATGAAAATTACAGGCCTCTCTCATATTTTTAAGTGGGAGAACTTGCACAATTGGTGGCTGACTAAATACTTTTTTCCCCCACTGTATCCCAACCAGAAGCCATTGATTACAGGCAACATCCGCACTGAGCTAAAGGCTAGAGGTGCCGCTTTCAAGGAGCGGGACACTAATAAGAAATCCCGCTATGCCCTCACGAACCATCAAACAGGCAAAGCGTCAATACAGGACTAACATTGAATCCTACTACACCGGCTCTGATTCTTGTTGGATGTGGCAGGGCTTGCAAACTATTACAGACTACAAAGGGAAACCCAGCCACGAGCTGCCCAGTGACGCGAGCCTACCAGACGAGCTAAATGCCTTTTATCCTCGCTTCGAGGCAAGCAACACTGAAGCATGCATGAGAGCCCCAGCTGTTCCGGAAGACTGTGTGATCACGCTCGCCGTAGCCGATGTGAGCAAGACCTTTAAACAGGTCAACAGACGGATTACCAGGACGTGTACTCAGAGCATGCGCGGACCAACTGGCAAGTGTCTTCACTGACATTTTCAACCTCTCCCTGTCCGAGTCTGTAATACCACATGTTTCAAGCAGACCACCATAGTCCCTGTGCCCAAGAAAGCGAAGGTAACCTGCCTAAATGACAACCGCCCCGTAGCACCCACGTCGGTAGCCATGAAGTGCTTTGAAAGGCTGGTCATGGCTCACATCAACACCATCATCCCGGAAACCCTAGACCCACTCCAATTCGCATACCGCCCCAACAGATCCACAGATGACGCAATCTCAATCGCACTCCACACTGCCCTTTCCCACTTGGACAAAAGGAACACCTATGTGAGAATGCTGTTAATTGACTACAGCTCAGTGTTCAACACCATAGTGCCCACAAAGCTCATCACTAAGCTAATGACTCTGGGACTTAACACCTCCCTCTGCAACTGGATCCTGGACTTCCTGACGGGCCGCCCCCAGGTGGTAAGGGTAGGTAACAACACATCTGCCACGCTGATCCTCAACACTGGGGCCCCTCATGGGTGCGTGCTCAGTCCCTTCCTGTACTCTCTGTTCACCCACGACTGCATGGCCAAGCACGACTCAAACACCATCATTAAGTTTGCTGATGATACAACAATGGTAGGCCTGATCACCGACAACGATGAGACAGCCTATAGGGAGGAGGTCAGAGACCTGGCAGTGTGGTGTCAGGACAACAACCTCTCCCTCCATGTGAGCAAGACAAAGGAGCTGTTCGTGGACTACAGGAAAAGGAGGGCCGAGCATGCCCCCATTCTCATCGACGGGGCTGTAGTGGAGCGGGTTGAGAGTTTCAAGTTCCTTGGTGTCCACATCACCAACAAACTATCATGGTCCGAACACACCAAGACTGTCGTGAAGAGGGCACGACAAAGCCTATTCCCCCTCAGGAGACTGAAAAGATTTGGCATGGGTCCCCAGATCCTCAAATAGTTCATTGAGAGCATCCTGACTGGTTGCATCGCCGCCTGGTATGGCAACTGCTCGGCATCCGACCGTAAGGCGCTACAGAGGGTATTGCGTACGGCCCAGTACATCACTGGGGCCAAGCTTCCTGCCATCCAGGACCTATATACTAGGCGGTGTCAGAGGAAGGCCCAAAAAATTGTCAAAGATTCCAGTCACCCAAGTCATAGACTGTTCTCTCTGCTACTGCACGGCAAGCGGTACCGGAGCGCCAAGTCTGTCCTAAAGGCTCCTTAACAGCTTCTACCCCCAAGCTATAAGACTTTATTTATTGAACTGCATTGTTGGTTAAGGGCTTGTAAGTAAGAATTTCACGGTAAGGTTTACACCTTTTGTATTCGGCGCATGTGACAAATAAAACTTGATTTGGAATTGAATAAAGACCCAAGGAGAGGGCAGAATGGATAATTGTCATTATTCCCACAGAACTCCACTCCTCAATACAGTGACCCCGAGGACTTCTCTGTGAATGTTGATGTAGAAGATGACGATGAAGAGTTTGATGGTGATGATGCTGACTATGAGGTGAGCTCTGCTTCAAGAAATCTTACCCCACTTCTATCTAGGAGTGTCCCCTGCTGACCAATTACAACCCCTCCCACATAAAAACCCTGCTCATCCTAGTGAGGTCTCCATCTGAAGTTGGTCACAGTTTGTGCCAACAAGCGCCCTTATATTGGTCCACTGAATATCTAGACAGTGACATGTACTTGTTGTATTCTTTGACAGTTAACGATAATTGATTTTTGTTTTTTAATTATCATTCTGTCTTTCAGGCTTGGGTGAGGAAACGTAAGCGGCGCTCCTGTGGGAAGTGTGAAGCCTGTAATAGTAGGACGGACTGTGGCACTTGTGATTTCTGCATAGACAAACCGAAGTTTGGAGGCAGCAATAAGAAGAGACAGAAGTGCCGTCTACGGCAGTGCCAGAGACAGGCCATGGTAAGGGTTGATTACTCACCTATTTTGAGATAATTGTCAGTTGTATGAGCATTTGAGGGTGACAATATTTTTTTTAAAATACCGTTTGAATTAGTCCTTGTTTGGAATTAAGCAATGGCCATACTCATTGTTATGCCATGAATGGATTCCTAACAATGCTTTCAATGGTGCTCTTATGTGTATGTATGTGTTTGACAGAGACACTTGTTGCCCTTTCAGTTGGGCCAGACTGATTTTGGGTCCCAAGAGGGGTGGGTGCAGCTTGGCAGGCCTAGGCCTCACTTTACATACAGTCGCAAGACAACCCCAAAGAAAAGTAAAACGCAGCATCTAGAAGTGGACCTGGAGTTCACTGATGATGAAGACGAGCCGCTGCAGGAAGAAGATGATTATCGCTACATGGAAACAGTTAAGTACTGCTGTGTGGAGATGGCACAATAGGGAAAGGCAGTGTTTAAAAAGTTATTATTGTTGTTCCATCTTAACGTCACATTGTCTTGAGTACAGGATTCCATGCAAATACTGATACATGCATTAATCTGAATTATACCAAAGTCTGTAAAATCTTGTGCTCCCACTTTCTTCCCACTGTCTGTCTGTTATTGTTGTAGGCACATTGGTGCCCTATGCTTCCCAGCAAACCCCAGGATGAAAACTTCAGAAACCACATACCGACAGTCCAGGTTGGTATCAAATTGGATTCAAGCTTAAAGGGAAAATCCACTCAAACTATAATTTGGATTTTTTTTCATTAGTCCACTGTTGATCCCAAAATATTTTGCATGTCAGCAGTCAAGTTTTTAAGATCTAGGACTTTCAAGAAGCAAAGTATAACTGGCCACATCATGATTTTAAGCTTTTGTTTAGGTTTACTTTTGTGGCATTTGCTTTTTGGCATTTTATATTGGTTAAAAATGGTATTTTATCTTTCCAATGCACAATCATTTCAACTGATTTTTCATATTTTACAGGCTCACAAAGAGACTTTGGAAATTGTAAAAAAGAATTCACTTCTGGAGCATGTCCCAGATATCCTCAACCATATAAGTTCTCCAGCAGTGAGTCACCCTTCTCTTTACCTTATTGAAATTATCTTAAGCATGTAATGTTTTACAGTACAATAAAATCCCATGACTAGTGTGCTCTTCAGTGTTTACCTTTTAACATTTAGACCGGAGTATGGTGTATTTCTCTTTCTATATTGCCCAGTATTGCACACTGTTCAAACCGGCAGACTCCGCAGTGAAATATGTTGGACCACCAGGTGAGAATACGTCCTTAGCAGCTCCGGACAGACAGAGTGGAATGAACGGAGGAAGGCCAAGTGTGGACAAGGATGTAGAAACGCCGTCTGGGGAGCCAGAAGTAGAGGAGGTCACACCTATGGTAAGTGACCACTTCCTGCTTTGGTGCATACGTACACTTTACAACATTGTAACCAATATTTAAGCCTAATAATTACCTTATAGTTTCAGACTACAGGAAGTTCGGGATTAGAATATCTTAAAATTTCGTTTTAAGATATTCTATAGGAGATACACGTGAAAGTAAATCTGTAATTAGCTGGAGTTAGAGTGGAATTGATTCCAACTATATTTTGTTATCCCTATTATGTTCTGTGTAGATCACTCAGATCTTCAGTCTGGCTGACAGTGCAGGAACAAGTGGGATGGAACAAGAACATGAGCTGTTAATGCTACTGGAGGCCCTGCACAGCTCTGCACTCCCCACACTCTGGTTTGCCATAATGGTGGAGGGCCCGATGCTACAGCTACTGCAGTGCTCCAAGCTCTCCCACATGGTGGACACAACCGTGCAGATTGACCCGGACTTCTACTATCAGATCTGTGTACAGGGCCAGCCGCTGCTCCTCACCCACCCGCTGTATGAAGCTCACCCATCGTCCTTGACATCTGTGCCTCAGGTGGCAAACCTGCTCCTGGATCTGGAGAAGTACAACGTGTGCCAGGGGGTCCCGACCAAGGAGCAGCCATTCAGCCAGGCTCCAATTATCATTGAGCGGGCATCAACCTGTGACTTTCTGGTACTTAAAGAAACCGAGCACTGTGCAAAGTGTAAGGCCTTATCCTGTGGCAGTTAAGGCCAGGCATCACACCCTAATAGGGATTTCCCCCCCCCCCCCGTTTAATCATATCACAATCAACTTTTACCAGTTGAATTAGACACAAATAATATTTTTTTGTATTACAATTTCTGAAATATTGTATTAAAATATGCAAATGAGATTATATCTCATTAAATATTTGCATATCCCGCAACAACAACAAATTCTGGACACTAGATAACCTAAATATTTTGGTTTCATATTGTTAAGACATTCCAGGACTGGACTTACTCAGTGCATTGTGGATAAATACTTTTTTCATCTTTCTATCTGTAAAATATTAAAGACACACAAAATCAAGAAAATGTTATCTAGAATAAATAATAAAAATTCCCTATAGGAAAGTATCGAGAATATATCTAATGATAACCACACACTATTTGGTGAAAACAGATGCTTCTGAAGCTGGGGAAAATGAGTTGGCTTGTGGGAAGAGTCTTGACTTTTGGGAAATGGCAGTTAAATACAAGTACACTGAATTTAGACTACCACACACCAAACACCTATTTAGACCCAATCACCATCTCTTCAAAGTAAGTTACTACATATAGTTCAGTTTTTTACATTCTCTATGAAATGGGCTTTTAAAATTGTGTAATCCAATGTAGTGGGCTTTGAAATTATGGATATGTCCATTTTAAAGTGGTTAAAATTCATGACATTTTGATGACGGTAGAATGATAAACGAAAGAAAATATGCATTTTTATCAAGATTGTCATTTTTGTTTACTTTTTGAAAATACTAATATTAATGGACCAAAATACCAACAAATCTCAATTGATAGGTAGATGCTGAAATGTCATTTCAGCCTGGGGTGCCTGGCCTTAAGAACATTTGGTGCCGCAGTGCAGGGTTAAGAGTCACCAGCACTTAGCAGTGCCGCAGTACAGAGCATCGCACCTCTGCCCTCACAGAACATCTCAAGTCTTTGGTGGCGATGGACAACCTGGACTGTCTAGTATTTTACGCTCTTACCACTAGACTTTGCAATGATATTTGTTAGGAAATTGTTGTTTTTTATTGCCCATTTCTTAAGTCTGTCTTACAATTAAATGTACAAATCATGAGGGTTTAAAGCCTGCTTTTTTTGCAATAGCTTTTCAGGTTGCTTGGAGCACTAGTACAGAATAATCTGACATCCATTGTGAGCCGTGTGTCCTGTTTATTTTTATCCTGTTTAGTGGTCAATGTGGAAGGTCACAGTGCGTCCACATTTCCTCATCTAGACAAACCACTGATTCTCTTGGTAAAGTAAGCAACCTTCAAACAAGTTATTGACCATAAGCACATGAACATTGATTAGATCATTGATTTGCAGATTAATCAATATGTGAAACTAATGCCCCAAATGAAGATTTACGTGGATGGGATTCACAGGAGGCTGCTGAGGGGAGGACGGTGCATAATAATGGCCGGAATGGAGCGAATGGAATGGCATCAAAAACCTGGAAACCATGTGTTTGTATTAGTACCGTTCCCCTCAATCCGCTCCAGCCATTACCACGAGCCCGTCCTCCCCAATTAAGGTGCCACCAACCTCCTGTGATGGGATTATCACATTCAGTCAACCATTTAACCCAATGTTGTTGTTTTGAGAGAAGGGCTTCCAGAACCTCTTCTAGAGGGTGACAGACCGTGTGTGATAATCCTCATAAGCATCATCTTCCTATTGCCACTGTCAATCATCTCAAGAGAACCACAGCCAAATGGCATGCTTGATTTGAATTAAGCATGTTATACTGTTTCTTTCACAGTGTTCATGGACATTTTGTTAGGTAACTACAGTCAGGTCTCTCTGTTGAAGATGTACACATCTAAAAAATACAGATGTGCTAAAGTTGAAGCAGTATTTCGTTTTCTGTACAGCTATTTTTGAAAACATTTATTTTACATAAAAGTAAAATCTGTATTTCAAAAAGATTAAGCACCGAAATTATTCTATCTTGATTGAAAATAATCCCTCTTATTGTCCCTTGTTTGAAGCATGTGAATTATATTCCTATGGCACTGGTCAGTGTGTTGTTTTTTTTCTACTTCAGACAGTTATTCCAACTTTTCGTATCGTGGAGAAATATGCATCTGTAAAGTGTGAAAATTCTGGTGTATTAATAAAGCCTATTTTTTGTCAAATAAAGTTGTTTATGATAAATATGGGAAGTATTTTGGCCGTTTGTTTTGTGGCTGTGATTCATTATACGAATTTATATAGTATTTAAGCAAATACATTTTGACCAAAAAAAAAAATGAGGATAGGATTATTTGTAAAATGTCAGTTAGGCTACAACAGGAGGCAGAAAATAAAAACTACCTTGGTCTTCTAGCTACAAGCCTATTTGGTTCTTTATCAAGCATCGAAGACGTTACTAATTTACATACAAGGTGTGGTGACCATGGTTTGTGAATTTAGCAAACAGTATAGGCTAAAATGTTGGACGACACGGAGCGCGCCACGGATTGGAAATGTAGGCTTGCAAAACGCAGGTATTTATTTCATTCTGAAACATAACGGACAGTGAAATTATACTAATAGGCCTGTGTGATATGGAACCTGCTATTCAAAATGTTCTATATCTTATCGGGTGCACTAGGTAGGACAACCTTTCCCGTGAAGACAGATTTCACGTTTGAGATGCGGAAGGCGTCGACGCAAGGGAGAATGGGGGTTGTAGACGCGCGAGAAAGGGGCAGCTGATTCATTTCAATTGAATATGGAGCCACATTGGATACGCAGAAGAAGAATATCGTGAAATTGTAGCGAATGGGCCATTGATTGCTACATTAAATTCATTTAAATTAAAAGAACATAACCTCGAGCGCTTTGATCGGGCCGTCTCCGGTGGCATTACAACATTGAACAGCACCATGGAGACCTCCGCACACACCGGTCATACTCCCAGGGATGGGGATTCTATAGGCTCAAATATGTCCTCTTCGTTGTAACAGTATAGGGACGTGTACATCATGGAAAATATTAGCCTATAGCCAATACTATACTCCATCCATGAGTTCATGGCATGTCTTAATTAATTTGAGATTAAAATCTTCGTCCTCACGGGGTTCCCTTTCAGGCAAGTAAAACCTTCTGCAATATAATTTTGTACAATTACTTTACAACAAAAACGTGCATTCAAATTCTGTCCTGACGCAATGCAATTAAGAAATGCAATATGAGATGCCTTCATCAACCCACAGCTGTTTTTCATTAGGCTGTACCAGTCTAATGTGTCCATCTGCAGAATCTATGCAGATGTAGCGTAGGCTACTGCTCTTTTAGCGTATTAAACATGGCTTAATTGAATGGGGAGGTGGCCACATGTAGCATGCTCTTAGATAAAAAATATTTTTAATCAGTGATATATATTTTTGATAATTATACATCTATTCAACAACCTCACCACTGCTACTGTAATCTATTTGTAGCCTTCCCACTGCGTTCCTGTCTCACATGAAAAACCAAAACATCTCCCTATTTTGGGTTGTGATTTCTTCTGGTTGTACCTTACATTTTGACATTTCATCATGACACATTGATTAATTCCCATATCATGTTGGACACACACTAAATTCCAAAGAGATATCAATATTTTATTCTGAATACTACAAAATTCCATGTTTGTAGGATTTACTCAGGCACATGTATGATGGGGGGGGCTTTAATCTCCTCAAGCTGTTGCTGCAGAGGAGGATGATATGGAACATACATACATACACTGGGCCCATCAATAGTTTATGCAGTTACTACCTAGAGCCTTTACGGTTTGTTCTCGGAAGCAATTTTCTTGTAATCTGTCCCTGTTATTGTCTGACTCCTACAGAATGTAATATTTCTATATTTTCTCAACCTTTAAGATGGTTAATTATGTTATTTATATTCAGGATAAATATTTCTATATTTTCTCAACCTTTAAGATGGTTAATTATGTTACTTATATTTATCATTTCAGCTGTGGAGTTGTTAGAGACAAAGTCTGTAGGGTGTGCATGTTCCCACACCCATTGACCCGCACTGATATTAACACTATTATGAAAATATTCATTAACAAGGATATCCAGAGCTGCCAGGATCTGAGGGACTTGTCCAAATCTGTTCACCCGGACAGCGCCTCGGGGTAATTCACTGCTGCTGCTGCTTTGGTCTGTCTGGGAAACACTGCAGTGTTCTCAGAAAATGATTTTCTACCTTGTTGCTAATGCAGTGGTGCTTGGTACTGATCACTTTAGAAGTTATCCTTTTCACATGGTCTTTGAGTTCATTGAGCATGACCATTAGATGATGTCACAGTACATCAATGAAGTTAAAGAATGGTCTGGAAATCAGTGGGCAGCAGACAGTAAACCTTTTTGAATGCTTGTCTAAGAGTATCGTTTGTGCACACTGTTTTCTTGTAGCCCAAGTTAACTAGAGCTGCAGGTTGGTTTGGCCTTCTCCCCCTCATCATGTCATTGTTTCATATGAATTCAGGTATAGTTATTATTCTACTTTTCTATAAAGCATGCTCTGACCTTGTGTACTGTCAATTCCACTTCACAAGGTGTAGAAATTGAGTTTCCAGACACAGGTGGATACAAACATTATAATTGGTTGTTGCGCCAAGGAGACACCGTGTCCATGCCATTTATTGTATGTCCAACTGATACGGACTGACAGGATTCGAGCAGCTGGCTTGATGTTCCATGAATGTAGTTATCAGCTGTCAGACATACACTGAGTCTACAAAACATTAAGGACACCTTCCTAATATTGAGTTGCACCCCCCCTCCCCTTTGCCCTCAGAACAGCCTCAATTCGACAGGGCATGGACTCTACAAGGTGTCGAAAGCGTTTCACAGGGATGCTTCCCACGGTTGTGTCAAGTTGGCTGGATGTCCTTTGGGTGGTGGACCATTGTTGTTACACACAGGAAACTGTTGAGCGTGAAAAACCCAGCAGTGTTGCAGTTCCTCACACAAACTGGTGCTCCTGGCACCTACTACCATACCCCGTTCAAAGGCATTTACATTTTATGTCTTGCCCGTTCAACCTCTGAATTGCACACATACACAATCCATTTCTCAATTGTCTAAAGGCTTAACAATCCTTCTTTTAACCTGTATTTAACAAGTGACATCAATAAGGGATCCTAGCTTTCACCTGGATTCACCTGGTCAGTCTATGTCATGGAAAGAGCAGGTGTCTTTAATGTTTTGTTCACTCAGTGTACAGTAGCCTACACAATAATATTCTTGGGTCACACCCACACACTGACCCAGACTCAGCTGGATAGGTGAAAGTGCCAAAATTGTTACCTTGTATCATACACATTGTGATGTGTCAATGAGTCTCTGTCATCCAACAGCAAGGATTTGAACCAATATAAAGGGCTGGGGGATTAGGACAAACATTTTTCACTGCAAGGATTTGGAATAGATACAGAGATCCCTTCATGTGTTACGGATCATGGGAAAACAGTATAGTAATAATCTCTATGGACATAGGGCCACATTCCATTTTTTATTAAATTCTCTTCTACCTTGAACCTACCAGAAATCTAGTAGTAGAAGGAATCACCAGATTGCTTTCACCTATACCGTTGTTTCAGATCTGCGTAGGGGAGCGAGCCATCAAGGGCAGAGGGAAGGGAGCAGGCTTTCAAGATGGGAACACTGGGCTGGCCATAGGATTGGCCACCATGTGCTAAGCTGCTCTGGGCTGTGCTGATAAGCATGTTATAATCAGTAGTTCAGGGAGGTACAGAGAGTGAGAAGATATCAAATTGGAAGGTCACCTGACCCTCCATAAGCTCTCCACAGGGTCCAGCTGGTGGCTGGCTGTTGAGGTGCAGCTTGTTGAATGAGAGGCATAATGACTGTAATAAATCCTGAAGACTGTATTTACTATATATATTTTTAAATTGAAGCTTCACTCGCACCCCAACGAAATGGCTTCCCTCCTTCTGCCTACACTCTTAGAAAAAAAGGTGTCATCTAGAACCTAAAAGGGTTCTTCGATTGTCCCCATAGGAGAACCCTTTGAAGAAAGTTTTTTGGCTCCAGTTAAAACCTTTTTGGGTTCCATGTAGAACCCTTTCCACAGAGGGTTCTAGATGGAACCCAAAAGGGTTCTACCTTGAACCAAAAAGGGTTCTCCTATGGGGACTGCCGAAGAACCCTTTTGGAACCCTTTTTTCTAAGAGTGTACTTAAAACATTACGAGTTTTAGTGCACCAATATAGCTTTTTTTGACTTA